CGAAACCGAAAATTTTTACAAGTCCGAAAATCCGAATTTATTGCACAATCTGGCAACAGTGTACGGAAAAATCAACAAATTTCTCGCCCCACCTGGCAACACTGTAAAATGCAATGTTGCAAAATTCACCAATAAATAAATCATTTATTTACGTGCCCCGTTCGGCAACGCTGCTGCGCCATCTTGAAAAATACACCATTGCATAACCCGAAAAATGAAGGGGCATTATTACACCATTGCATTACCCGCATATTGAAGGGGCAACATGCAATACTTTCTTTTTACAGCGTTGCCATATTGAACAATAATCCCTATACAACGCTGTAATTTAATTCCTATTTTTCTGCACAATCATGCAACGCTGTTGGATAATTTACTGTGGTAAAGTCGTCATTTTCATACTACTCGGGATGGTCCTCAGAATCTCTCTTGGAAGTGATACCTATATTCATGTTGCAAGGTTTCTCAGAATTACCTTGAAACAATAGGCCGAAAAAGTGGGCTCTGGCTTTGGAATCATTGCATATAGTCAAGCAACCAACTGCAAATATTAAACGCTCCTGATTTTGAAATCGGTGAACATACTCCGATAACTCCAATTTCAAGTGCTGTCTCCTAACACTTCATTACGGATAGGAGCAACCACAACTTGCTCACTCAATCTTCAGTTTCAAGTGCTGTCTCCTAACACTTCATTACGGATAGGAGCAACCACAACTAGCTCAGTACTACTATTAAAGATTATATTTCCAGTACTAGTATAAAGGAGTGGTCATGTCATGAATAATACGAGCCATGAGGGAAAAGGGCATACTTCAGAGGAGGAAACAGTGGAAGACACAGAGGTATGGACTGAAGTGATCAAATTATCCAAGTTAAATAATGTGTCAGAATGGTTAAAAGTTTAATAATCCGCATGTAGAATGCAGAGCCTCAAGATACTTACAAAAAAAATCGAGAAGCATGAAGCATACAGCGGCGTGCGGCAGTCAATTCACCTTCACGGCTCCGTTGAAGGGAAGTTACATGCACTGAAAAAAAACTCGTCCTAAATTTAAGGAAACATGTATCCTTAAAAAGTTTCCTAATTTCAACACGGTGTTAGCTTGGAACAAGCCAACAGTTATCTCGATCCAAGGTAACAAAATTGTGTTGAGTTAAGAAAACCATGCTTTCTTGAACCACGTATACGTTTTCTTGAAACAGACTAACGGATACTTGAAACGGGAAAGATGTTTCCTTAAAATTAGGAAACGAGGGAATCGCTTCTGTGTCCTAAATTTAAGGATCCATGTGGTGTTGATCGAAGAACCCTGTTTCCTTAGAATTAGGAAACGGAGAGAAGCAAAGCCGTTTCCTGAATTGAAGAATCCATGGAGTGTCGTTTGAAGAGATCAGTTTCCTTAAAATTAGGAAACGGGCATAGCATTTCCTGTTTCCTCAATTTAAGGATCCATGTGATGTTGATCGAAGAAACCCATTTCCTTAAAATTAGGAAACAAAAAAATTACCAAACGCCTACTGAGGAGGTGGATGCAACGTGCCGTACACCACCATGTATTCGGCGAGTTGCTCAAGAGGGGCCTTCCAAATATACCGTCGCTCCTTTGGCGGAAGGGCGCATCTACACTTTGAGATGATGAACAAACAAATAGCCTCAGATATTCAAAGTTTATACCAAGAGTCCGTATATTAAAAATAGTAACAATAAAGTTAACTGAGCCTAGAATTGATGAAACACCTGCAATATGCAAAGAAAAAATTAGCAAATCAACTGATAAGCCTCTATGAGTTAATCTCAAAGACAGAGGAGGATAAACAGTTCAGCCAGTACCAGCTCCTGTCCTAATAATCATTCTAAACAACATAAAAATTAATGAGGGGACTAAAAGTCAAAACCTTAAGTTATTTATACGAGGAAAAGCCATGTCAGGAGCACCAATTATCAGTGGAATAAGTCAATTACCAAAACCACCAATAACTAGTGGCATTGTTATAAAAAAAATCATAATAAAAGCATGAGAAGTTACAACAACATTATATAAATGCTCATTTGATATAAAAGACCCAACATTTATAAGCTCAGAGCGAATAATTATACTAAAAGAAGTTCCAATTAATCCTCTTCAAACACCAAAAATAAAATATAAAACACCGATATCTTTGTGGTTAGTCGAAAAAGCTCAAACTTTCATAATTATTAATAGTTAAAGAAATATAACGCTAAACTGCAATTTTAGAATTGATTAATTTCTCCTCATATCTTAATAAATAAAGTGCCTGATAAAAGGGTTAAATTGTAAATTTAATTGTAAGTTTATTCTTCTTTATTAAAATTTAAATTAGCAAATTTAATTATAATTTTGAAAATTATTAGTTTTTATTTAACTTAAAATTTTAATAAAAAATAAATAGACCAAGATAAGATAGTAAAAATAGAAATCTTAATAACCCAAATTTGGTAAAATTGATAGTGTATCATTTTACTCACCTACTAAATACCAATATAGCAAAAAAAAAAAGTTGTAAATAAAAATAAACTGACAAAATCGAAATTAAAATTATTAATCTTATCAGAAACTTAAACCCAAGATACCAAAAATAATTAATTACTAATCATTTAATTAAAAACCCAAGAAAAGGAGGAAATCCAGAAATTCTTAAACCATAAATAAAAATTATGACTTTTGTGAATAAATTTAAAGACCTAAATTTAAATTGATTAACATAGAAAATATTGTACTTTATTAAAACACTGATTAATCAACAAAGTATAGCTATATATCTTGTAAAATATATTATAAAAAATCCCAATCTAATTCTTATACTATAAATAAACCAACAAATGTTAACTATAGAACTATACCCCATTATTTTTTGAATATTACTATTGTTTAACCCTATCAACCTACCGAAAATAGTAGAACTAACAATCACAAAGAAAAATCTAGACATACAAAATAGGTAATATAACAAAATGAAAGGAATTAATTTTATTAAAGTACCCAAAACAAGAAATCTAACTCATTCAAGCTTGCCACAGATTAAAATTAATCAAAAATGAAAAGGAAATATACCCATCTTAACTATTAATCCCAAAGTCAAAATAAAGCTGCACATATAACGTAAATTAAACATGTAAAATAAAATAAATGTAAGTATAACTAAAGAAAAAATCACTTGAACTAAATAGTATCCTATTGTTGATTCCCTAATTCTATAGCCTTTTCCTGCCACACATACCCCAACAAACATCACAAAACATACTTCTATTAGGTATCAAATTATTAATCAATTATTAATAGACCATCTTATAACCCCAAACCACCCAATAAAATAAATCAATATAATTTTTGTGTACTTCAATAGATAAGAGATTTAAAATTATCTATAGTTGAAATATGAGTCCAATAGCTTTAGTTAGCTTACATATCAGTAGGGTGAAAATGGCGACTTGAGCGCAGTAAATTATCCAACAGCGTTGCATGATTGTGCAGAAAAATATGAATTAAATTACAGCGTTGTATAGGGATTATTGTTCAACGTGGCAACGCTGTAAAAAGAAAGTATTGCATGTTGCCCCTTCAATATGCGGGTTATGCAATCGTGTATTAATGCCCCTTCATTTTCCGGGTTATGCAATGGTGTATTTTTCAAGATGGCGCAGCAGCGTTGCCGCGTGGTGCATGTAAATAAATGATTTATTTATTGGTGAAATTTTGCAACATTGCATTTTACAGTGTTGCCAGATGGGGCGAGAAATTAGTTGATTTTTCCGTACACTGTTGCCAGATTGTGCAATAAATTCGGATTTTCGGACTTGTAAAAATTTTCGGTTTTGAGAGACCGTATCTTACAATATGGGTCGGTATCGGATAGTGAAGATTAGGGTCTGATTCGGTAAAATTGGAAAATTTTCGGAAA